CTGGGTTACGGGTTGGCTTACCTACTGGTAGGGTATAGTAGGTGCCATCATGACTCGAGAAATCGGGTCGTGACAAATTGGTATCAGAGCCTCAGGTTCACCGGTCTCACTTGTACAGAGCTAACGTCTAGTAGAGTCTTGCGGATCGGTGCGGAGACGTCCGTAACTTATCTTCGGGAGGCTACAGGATGTCCTTAGAAAGATTTCCTCTTTTGTTTCACTTTCGTGCAGCATGTGTCTTATTGGTTCCTTAAGATCTCACTTGTTTCACTCTTTCGCAGGATGGCTCGCTCGCGAGGTGGCGCGGCCGGGGGTCATGATTCGAGAAATCGGGTCGTGACACATCCCAAGCAACCTCAACATCAAATTAATAAAAAGAAGAAGATACTATAAAGCTGGAGCACCCAGCAAATTGGAGAAATGACATAGTGTGCTCACCTCTGGATGCCTTTTTAAAAGGTCAGGAATACTAACTTTCCTCATGGAGTGTAACTGGTCAACTAGTGCAGGGATGACCAACTTTGAAATGCCATAAGCCAGCGAAAGATCTTTTGATGCATAACAAAGCACTTCTAGTTTATGACCTACGACCAGAAGTTGAGTTTCTTGGGTGGCTGAAAGAAAACAATTCACCAACTGATTAGGGGACCACAAACTAGACCAAGTTATTCTCATTATATCCCCACAAAAGCAGAATAAATAAAACAAAGACAAGCCATGTTATCTATTAAAGTATCATTACCTGGATAATATTCAGCAATAGGTGCAGAAGGTTTCACAGAATTCATTGATTTGTTCAGCAGAAAGCTTACTTGGATTTTATCTGCACTCTAAACAGCAAATGTTTTAAAACAGTTGTATACATGCCTGCAACGAATTGAAGTAAATTAAATATAACTTCCAGTTTTAAAAAACTCAATTAAATATAACTTCCAGCTAGGATTGAAGAAATCACATTTGCACTTTGACTATAATAGTATTTGAATTTTGAGGTGAAATATACCTCCTCTATTGAAGAAAATGAGGTAATATCTTTGCTCCTTGAAGAGAAGTGTGAACATAACAAAGCTTTTGTATCAGAACCTTTAAGTTCAGAGGAAGAACTTGAACTATCTGTGCTCAGTTCTGAACCACGAAGAACAATAGCACCAGAAGTTTCATTTAAAGCTTCTATTAGGCAAGTAACTAGTGGGTCTCTGAATTTACTAGCAACAGCATCAGCTGCACGCATATATATCTCATGTACATCTGTTAAATAAAACAAGCTATAGTCAGCAACTAGGAATTGCAAGGCTGTGGATGCACATCTTACACACTACTACCTCTGATATGTAGGAAAGCAAAGCCTAAAAAGATCACTTCATTTTGATGCATAAAAATATATTTTAGTTACCTAGAAGAGTTGTAATCAATACAAAGAAACACATAAAGACAATAGAGATCTCTTCATTTAGATAATGTTCATTCATACATTCTTCGGTTGGGAACTCGAAGCAATGGAACTAAAAAGTTGCAAAAATGATGATAGAGAAATTACCTGTCTTGGTTGCCTAATCCTTCTAGATATTTCTCAGCTAGAAACATATCTTTTGTTTCCTCCCTAGGAGTTACCCACCTTGCTCAATTGGTGACTCGGATCAACACTCACAGATAGCATTCTAGTACTTAATTCATCAACAAAAAAGAAAACTCAAGGATGGTATTTGGACAATTCTTTCTTGATTTGATTACTATAATTGCTCTTCCACATGCTTCTCATTCACCCTCATTAAGGTATCACTGAAGGATCAAATTTGAATTGTTAACAGATTAAGACTAAAAAGAGAATCTTGCAATTTTCCAATTTTCTAAAATCTACTAGCATTAATATCCAGCTCTATATACATCTACTGTTAATTTAACACAATCAACTTTCACGACCATAAACAGCCAATTCAGGAGACGTTCAACACTGGTATACTACCAATACTCACTCCAGACTTCTGAATTTGAGCAAAAAGGAAAAGCACAGTAGAAAACATACTACAATTATCCAGGAAGCGGCTAGAATAAAAATTTGAATTTGATAGTGTCCAGTAAAAGCATGGATGAGTTAACAAAATAGAGAGATGAACGGACTATGAATTTATGCAGGGAGAAAAAATAAGAAAGCACTCACCATTAGGTTTGCTTGGCTGATAATATAAAGGCAACTTTACTTGAAGAGCACAATGGAGCAAACAACCTCTTTCCCAAACAAACTTTTCAGGATTATCTTCATACACAATTGAACTAACACTCTCAAGACTGTCCAATTGTCCATCCTTGGACACGAAAAAACGAACATCCTTAGCATTATTCAAATCCACCACAGCCCCGATCAGCTCCTGATTCCCCAAATTTGCATCACTGGACAAACTTTTCCTCATATTACAAGCTGCATTAATCGCCTCCTTCGCAATTTTGTCAAAAGTACAGTCTTTTCCGACAATTAAAGCTCCAATAACTTCAAAACCCTTGGGGAGCAATGTTCTTATATCATCTTTCAATAAATAATAAATAGTTAAAATCATACACAGATAAAAGCCGAAGAATTGAACTAGCTGAAATTAGACTGCTTTGACTACCTGATTCTTTAGAGAAATCCGGCGATAGAGGATTGGAGGAGGTAGTGTGGATACATCGGAAAGTAGAGATAACGGTGTAGCGAGGGAAGAATGGAGAGCCGATGAGCCATTGAATACCCGATTCGTTCTTGATAATCTGGAGCCTCCGGCAGAGGATCCGAATAGCCGGGTCCTGGTTTTCGCTAGCCATTGACTGAAATTCGGAGTTTGTCTACCGGCGTTCAACTGAGCAGCAAACCGAAACTTACGAGTTCCAGGTGACTTAATAATTTTCTATTTTATTAATGATGGGTTTTGAAAGGGAAAAATTATATTTGTAATTAGCAAAAATCCTAAAATAATCTATTATTCTGAAAGAAAATAAAACCTTGTAAAATTGGGTCATGAGGGTCAACCTTGAAAAATTGATGAAACGCTTTTAATAGTCTTGAGCATTTATGATCTTTACCTATGTTCAAATTATGTAATAATTTATCTTAAAAGAATATTGTATTCTCAAATTTATCAGTTAAAATTAACATCAACGGTGATCGTTGAATGTTTGTCTTGGAAATTATCTTCCAATTTGTCAACATTCTTTCTCTTAGTTGCTTGCTTTACAGAGACATATGTGGGTGGTACTCCAACATACTCCTTCCGTTAACTTTTACTTGTTCAATTTGAATTTTACACGTCCTTTAGGCCTTAAAAAATAATAATAATATTTAAAATGAGTATTTTATCTATTAATTGATGTTTTGTTCTTGGTTGTGAGAAATAATTTGAGGAATAAATAATTGATATTCAGACAAACATCCCATAAATAACTTACTGATGGTGTGTAGAAAAGCAAATAGTATGACTCTTATTATATTAAGGGAGTTTTAATCAACACTGAATACTGTTTCAAAGTAACACAATCATAATCATTAGTCCGACTTCCATGTCTAAACTCTTCATTTCACCAGGCCATGTTATCCTCAACCAAATGAGCAAAGAAGTATAGGCAGTAAACTAGAAGTATACAGTCTCCAGCATATAACAACACTAAGCTAGCGTTTGGCCATAGATTTTCAAATATATTTGGCAAATATTATTTGGGTGAAGATTTGAGTGAAATTTCACCATGTGTTTGGCCATAGTATTTGGGAAATATATTTCAATTTTTTAAGAAATATGACTTATGCCCATAAGTTTTTAAAACTATCAAAACTAACCATAAATTTGTATTACATAGCAAAATAGAAATGTCGCGTAACAAGATTCATGACTTCCGCAACAAATCAAAAAGCATCATTACAGTAAATAGTCGCATCGTTAAAAAAGACTAGTACAAATCATGATAATGAAAATACAACTAATATGAATTTGAAAAAGAAGAAGAAAACAGAAGGAAATAAATATTGCAATCACTGAAGCGCCTCTGCCTTCTCTTCTGGAAGAGTTCAAACTATTCTTTAATATAATCTTCCCACATTCTATGAACAATCTCTTCTCGATGAGCTTGTAGAAAATATATGTAGATTTTTACAAATTACCTTCAATTTGTTTCTCCACAGAGGATTGCCACAAAGCTTTTATTACGGTTGTTCAACTAATTTTTTGGGTATAAAAGCTCTTGTACATGTATGCTCTTTATAATAGAAAAATTTATTAATTGAGTTAGTTAGCAGATGGAGATTTGATTGAGTTGGTTGGTGTTAATAAATAAAGTGTTTTTGTAAAAGATAAAAGTTTGGTGTTAAATTTGAATTTTTAAAACTTTCCAAATAATGAGATTTGGCCCAAATACTAGAAAAAACTAGTATTTGGGAATTTGGGTTATTTGCCAAAAAAATTTGCCAAATAATGAGAAAGTGTATGGACAAACAATATTTGCCAAATTTTTTCCCAAGTTTTACTTGGGAAATCTATGGCCAAACGGGCCCTAACAATGATTACTTGTGCTCTGCACCGGCTCAACACTTTGTCTAAGGTTCTAAGCACCAAATTAATGGTTATGTCAATGTATCAAATCAGTACAAAGAAGAGACAACTGAAACACAATTCCTAGAACCAGACATCAGAGAAACAAAGTTGGCACAAGAAATGGATAAATCTATTACAGGCAAGAATCAATCGTAAAAGCATCTGATTAGGAGTCTCTCTGACTGCATATGAGAATCATTACCTTCGAGCAGAACGAACTTTATTAGTAATTCAACTCTCTAGCTGATGTAGAGTTCCACAAGTCTTAAAGCAATTAACTTAAATGATCGACTAGCTGATGTAGAGTTTCACGTATTAAAGCAGTTAAGTCCATGTCTCCTCTTTTATGCTAAAAGGTAGAATACAACTGTACAAAAGAGCAGATAACTACCAAAAGAAATACTAGGAAAATTCTAAGCTAACTCACTGAAACAACATTAAGTAATGACAAGACAAAAAAATATAGCTACTACTGTCCTCCTTGAAATCTTGATCCTTTTTTTCTATTTTTCCAGAATTCATCCTTCTTTCCCTTTTTCTTTTCTTTCAATAAGCCCATACTGCTCTTAACTATTCCCATTAAAGCACTCTTATCCTTCCTGTTCTTTATGGCAGCTTTTACATCCAGAATTGCCCGGAGCTTCTCATATGATTCAGCATCAGGCACTTGCCGGTTTTTTACCATCTGCTTGTGAAAATAAAATGCTCTCTTATAATCCCGCACACGGATGAAGGCATATATCATTGTGGAATATGTAATAGAATCAGGTTTTAGATTAAGTGCTGACATCTCCTTCAAAAGCTGTGGCAACCTTGATTCTTGCCCTCCTCTCGCATATGCATTGATCAACATGTTGTATGTCATTACTGTTGGTTGTAACCCAAGCTTCCCAAACTCACAAATTACATCTCTTGCTTCAACATAGCAACCTTGTTTAGCAAATCCATCCAGTAGAATGTTAAATGTCACCCTTGTCCCTTCAATTTTCTCTCTGATCATCATTTTCCAAATTTTCATGAGTGTTTGGGTATCACCAGCACGTCTAAATGCATCAAGAAGAGCAGTATAAGTTTCTATGGATGGTTTTATTCCCTCCCTTTGCATATTCTCAAAAGCTGTGTAAGCTTTATCATGCCACCCACTGACTGAATAGGCATGAATAAGAGCTGTATACGAGTAAGAATTTGGTTTTATACCAACCTTTGTCATCCTCAAGAATGCATTTGCAGCCAAGTCACTCATTTTCTTCAATCTTCCATAGGCACTGATCAGGCATGTATATGATTTCACATTTGGCTCCAAACCAGCATCTTCCATTTCCTGTAGCAGCTTCTCAACAACATCAGGCTGGAGTCTCCTACTGTATGCATCCATCAAAGTATTATAAGTAGCCGAGGTAGGTGCAATTCTTTTCTTCTTCATCTCAGCAAAGAGACCTTCAGCTTCTTCAATTTGGTTAGATTTACAGTAAGCATGCATCAGAGTATTATAGACAATGGCATTAGAAGATAAACCCCTTTTCTCCATTTCCAACTGGATAATTAAAGCTTCCTTCTTCAGGCCTTCATCACAAAAGGATTTAATTAGAGCACCTGCTACTTCCAAGCTCCACTTCACACCTTCTTTATTCATCTTTTCGAATAACTCCCAAGCTTCTTTGGCACTATTGCCCCGTTTCCTCATTATTGTAATTATAATGGAACTCGTCACATGGTCTGGTTGGACAGAGTTTGTTTCCATGGACTGGTAAATTTCCCAAGCATCATCATACCTTTAACAAATTAAGCCGGTAAAAGGAGCATAAGTTATAAACGAAAAGCTTACACAAAACTGAACTACTCTCAGGATGTAAACACACCAAATGAACACCAAAATTGCAAGACTTTCTTATATATCAAGTATTTTAAATGAAATGTGTGAAAAGACAACATATACTAGGAGGCAGGAGCATTTTCTGTAGCCAGCTCCTTTGCACAACCAATTTGAAACTCAAATGAGGTACACCAAAAATGTCCTCCAAATAATTGACAGTTACCACCAAACATATACTAAAACATAGCACTACACATATCAAACCATCTGATCTGAGTAATATAAACATAAAAAACGAACGAGCTTCGCAATCAAACAAGTGTAAAAAGCTTTCAGTCATACCTTCTACAGCATAAAAGCCCGGAAATAGCTGCATTATAAACATGGACGTCCCTGAACCTCTTTCGATTAGGCAAGTTCTTAAACAAAACTAGTAACTCCTTGCTCATACCAGCCCTCCCAAGTATCAGGAACAGAACCTTATATGCACGAGGTGTTACCAATGACGGCTCATTAAGCCCCATCCATTCGAAAAAATACAAGCAATCAATCGCCAAACCTTCATTTCCCAGCAAACCCAACACTTCCTCACAGTCTTCCTGTCCAACCCTCCCTTCAAATTCACCTAATACTTCACCTAAGGTCACATTTTCCGGTAAGCACTTCGCCTTCTCCACTATTTGACTGACAATCCCCTCAACTCTAGGACTTGGGGGGAGTGTATCGAATAGCGATTTCTGAATATCTTCGACTTCATCGTCATCGTCTTCAGTTGAAGCAGTGATAGAAGCAAGGTGCCAAGATGTTTTACGGTTCTCTTGAAGAGATAACTTGCCTAGACTACCTGGGTCTGGGTCAGATTCTTGGTCTGCTGTCCGAGTCTGGAAGAACCGGCGAATTGGGTCATTGTCTGGTTGATTTAACTCCTGGGTTTCTGAAGGAATAAGTCTTTCTTCTTCCTCGTCTACTACTTCTTCTTCCTCGTCTTCTTCAAGAAAAGAAAGGAAAAGGGAGGAAGGTGTAGACCGAGGAATGGAAGAGTTAGAGAAAACAGGGGAGGATGATTGAGAGAAGGGTCTTAAGGATATGGGATTTCTTCCAATTCTCAAAGGGCAAAGGGCATAGTAGTAGTGATTTGCCTGTAATGTACAGGAAGTAGAAGACGGGATAAAGGAGTGTTTGAGCGCCATTAAAAATGGCTTCTGAGCTTCACTGGAATTTGGATTGACTTTTTAAGAAGAAGGTTCAAGAGCTTCATCCCATAACCTCAAATCCTTAATCACTCAAATACAGTCATTAAGTAAATTTGAATTACTAAAATATTAAACAATTTTTTTTTTAATATTGTTAAATATTTATTCAAATAATTCTACAAATATAACAATTTATCGCTATGGTATATTCACTAGTAATCGGTGTTGTCCCCATCATTACATCTACCACCACTCCCCCCACAATTATCATTCTCAATCATAATCATTATTATCAATTACCATAATTTATCTTTATTATTATTAATTACTATTATTTAAATTATTATTATAGCTTCTATAACCACCAAACACTTGTCAATCACTATCATCAATTGTATCTATATATTAGATTGTTACCATCATTTACTAACACTATTAATTATCATCGATCATAAATATCTTTATTATTATTAATTACTATTATTTAAATTGTTATTGTAGCTGCTATAACCACCAAACACTTGTCAATCACTATCATCAATCGTATCTATATATTACAATTGTTACCATCATTTACTAACACTATCAATTATCATCTATCATAATTATTAAATATCATCAAGGCTTAAGTCATCAACAATTCCTTAAAATTATCCGCATAATTTACTTAGACACAATAAATTAAGACCAGTATCTATTGAACACTTTTACCTATTCAAAAATTGTTTCTATTAGACATTTTTTGATAATCAGCAAAAAATATGAAGAGTGTGTGATACATTTATGCTAACATGACAAAATGGCTAATTAAAAAATAACATGTGGCAATGACCCCCTAAAATTATAAAAAAAAATTGTTTAAAATTATTCCAAACACATTTTATATCTAATTTTTTTATTAAAAAATGAAAATGAAAATGTCAAGTGTCAACCTATCTACCCAGCCCCACCCCTACCCAACCCCCTTTCATCTTCATCTTCTTCCCAAAACACATTATTTCACAAATCACAAAACACAATTTCTTTTTTAAATAACTTGAAGATTAATTTTTTTTAAAAATATATATTTTCATACTAAGAGTGAAGAAAAAGAAAATTTTACCGACGGTTATTTATTTCTACATCAATGACAAAATAAATTGATAGCTAAAAAATTAATTCTATCAAATTTTTTAATATCATTTTTGATAAATTTAATGGATTTATATATGAATTTGAGTAAAAATATCTGTTCGAAAATTGTGATAAATAAATATCGGCTTACTTTTTTATACGTAAAAATCATTAATCTTCTTTCTTCTTTTTTGATTATTTTATGAGATTTAAAATAAATCATACGAAAGTCTTTCTTTCAAATCTGAATCGTATGGTTTCTTCATAATTGATTTTCATTTATCTTCAGATTTGGAAGAAATAATATATTTTTTTATAAAAAAAAAAGAAAAAGAAAAACAATGTTGGAGCTAAAATGGAGAAAGTTTTGCAAACTAAATTATGAAGAAGATGATTAGTAGGGGTGGGGTGCTTTTCTTTTTTGAAAAAAGAAAAAAATCTTATAAGTTAATTATAGTGCCGAGTGTCAATAAAACAAGAAAAAAAAAAACTATTTTGAATTTTTTCACGCGCTTCAGGAAAGTGCAAAACACATTTTTTTGTCATATCAGCGTTTTGTGTTTAATAGGTACATGTTTTGAACAATTTAGGTGTTCAATAAGTACAAGTCCTAGTTAAGATGTCTAAGTAATTATGCGAACAACTTTAAGGGACAATCGATGACTTAAGCCTATCATCAACTACCATGATTTATAGCTATTGTTAATCACTATTTATAATTACCACCATTACTAGCGACTACTTGTAACTATCATCATCAACCTACATAATCTCAATCATCACATATAACCACCACCAATTGCTACATAATTTTCTAAAAAATATCTATTGATGTAATGTATTACGTTATTTTAGTAATTTATTTGATTTTTATGTTTTTTAACTTTTAAATAAAATCATTTTTATATATTCAAATATTAAAGAAAAAGATGTTGTTTATTGTCAAAATAAAAAAACTGTATTGGAAAATTCTCTTTTTTGAATTGATGATCTGCTCTGTACAATTTACCTATATTTATACAAGTATCCTGCTAACTAACTGTACAGGTGGCTATTTCTAATTTGTCTACCTCTAACAAACTAATGGATAAATACATAAATTGTATAATAAAAGATGCCTTAATTAAGTTCTAGAAGAGAGTGTATATGCTAAAGCCCAGACGTTTAAAACAAATTCAATCAAACATCTGAGGCCCACGTTTAAGGCCCAATGGTTGTATAACCCAAGTCCATAATATCATTTGTAGGGTCTTTCATTTGTAGCTACTTCCATTCTTAAACTAGTAGCCTGGAAGAGTGTAAAATCGTCTGAGAAGGAAGAAGAATTCCAACACCCCCCCTCAAGTTGGAGGGGATGAAACACCCAACTTGTGAAGAAGAGAGTGATGGGTAGGTCCGGTGAGAGATTTTGTAAACAGATCTGCAAGCTGAGATGAAGATCGAATATGAGAGAGCGAAATAAGACCGGTGAGGTACTGCTGATAAACGAAATGACAATCGATTTTGACGTGTTTCGTTCGTTCATGAAAGACCAGATTTTTAGCAATATGTATGGCAACAGAACTATCCGAATGAAGAGGAACCGGCAAACTGATCGGAACATTGAGATTTACGAACAATCGGACCAACCAAGTAAGTTCGGCAACGACTCGCCTCATCGACCTATATTTAGCTTCAGCTGAACTGAGTAATATTGATGCTTGCTTTTTTTATTTCCATGTAATAGGAGAAGAACCAAGAGAAATATAGAAACCACTGACGGACTTTCATGAATCTGGGCAGGTTCCCCAATCGGAATCACAAAAGGCAAGGAGCTGGAAGGACGACGAACTGGACATAAAAATCCCAAGACCTGGATCATTGAGCAAATAGCGAAGTACTCGTAAAGCCGCAGTAAAATGAGGAAGATGAGGGTCCTGCATATACTGACTAAGGTGTTGTACAGTGAATGAGAGATCCGACCTTGTGTAAGTCAGGTAATTCAGTTTTCCCAGTAAGTGTCGATATAGAGTGGGATTCGTCAAAAGAATACCTTCATTGGCCTTCAATTTGACAGAAGAATCCAGAGGTGTAGAAACATGATTAAGGTCCAAACAATTGAACTCTGTTAATAATTCAAAAATGAACTTCCTTTGAGAAAGAATTAAACCATGTGGTTCCCGGATGACTTCCAAACCGAGGAAGAAGTGTAAATTACCAAGATCTTTAATCTTAAATTCTGCATCCAAGAATAACTTGAGTTCCTGTAAGTCGGCTGGATTATCTCCTGTCAATAAAATGTCATCGACATAAACTGCAACTATAGAAATCGAATCAGTAGACTTCTTAAAAAACAAAGAATAGTCATTGAGAGAATGACTAAAACCTTTGAAATTGAGGGTTGCAGTGAGTTTTGAATACCATTGTCGAGAGGCCTGTTTTAGGCTATAAATAGACTTCTTTAATAAACAAACATGATTAGGAGAATGAGGAGAAAGACCAGTAGGAAATTTCATGTAAACTTCCACATTGAGGTCACCATGTAGAAAAGCATTGTTTACATCTAATTGAAAGAGACCCCAGCCTCTCTTTACTGCAATAGCCAAAATACAGCGAACAGTGGTCATCTTCACCACTGGTGAAAAAGTCTCATTGTAATCCACCCCTTCTTTTTGTATATCACCTCTAATGACCAATCTGGCCTTAAATCTCTCAATATTACCATCTGAATGTTGTTTGACTTTGTAAACCCACTTGCAAGGCAAAGCCTTTTTCCCATGAGGCAAAAGAACAACATCCCAAGTTCTGTTCAGTTCCAAAGCAGCCAGTTCTAGATTCATGGCTTCCTGCCAAGCAGGATCATGTATTGCTTATTCATAGCTAGCAGGTTCATGGATATTAGAGACAGAGTTGAGCATAACCTGATTAGAAGAGGATAAAAAATTGAATAGAAGGGAAGTAGGAGTGACAGGACTAAGAAAACAGGAAGAACTTACATCTGTGAGTTGTAAAACATGACAAATATAATCTGTAAGATAAGAAGGAGTCCGAGTAATCCTAGAAGACTTTCTGACAAGAGAATCAATAATAGGATTTGGATGGGGAGGATCAGGAGATGTACTGATAAGAGAAGGAATAAGATTACAGTCAGATGAGGGAAAGGAAGGAGGAATAGGCAAAGTATCAGGAACACTGGACAATGTAGAGTCAGGTGCAGGTGTAAATAAAGGAAAATCAGAAACATGTATATCTGAGGGAGGAATTGGAAATAATCTATGAGAAATGTGAGACAGATCTGATGAAAAGGGAAAATATTCTTCATAAAAAATAATATCTCTAGAAACAAAAATTTTCTTTGTTTTAAGGTTCATGACTTTGTACCCCTTTTTCCCATAAGGATACCCCAAGAATACACAAGGCAAGGCTCTTGAATCAAACTTTGTTCTATGAGGAGAAGTAGTGGAAACAAAACATAAACAATCAAAACATCTTAGATGTGAATAAAGAGGTTTATCTTTAAAAAGGATTTCAAAAGGTGTTTTGTGATTCAAAATAGAAGAAGGAAACCTGTTAATCAGATAGGTGGCAGTTAATAAACATTCTCCCCAATAAATGATAGGTAAATGAGATTGATATAACAAGGCTCTTGAAGTTTCAAGCAAATGCTTGTGTTTCCTCTCCACTATTGTCAAAATAAAAAAACTGTATTGGAAAATTCTCTTTTTTGAATTGATGATCTGCTTTGTACAATTTACCTATATTTATACAAATATCCTGCTAACTAACTGTACAAGTGACTATTTCTAATTTGTCTACCTCTAACAAACTAATGGATAAATACAGAAATTGTATAATAAAAGATGCCTTAATTAAGCTCTAGAAGAGAGTGTATATGCTAAAGCCCAGACGTTTAAAACAAATTCAATCAAACATCTGAGGCCCACGTTTGAGGCCCAATGGTTGTATAACCCAAGTCCATAATATCA